AAAGTTGTTAAAAGTAGTTGATTGTAGATATTTACACTTTAAATGGTCTCAATTAAATAAAATGCTAATTATAAAGTAACATAACTGGACATTTATCATTGAAGTGTAACCCATATATTCAAAAGATTTCAACCCATCTTCTCAACCCTGTCATTCATTATCATTGTTTATTTTTTAAACATGAACAAATGGATTCCTGACAGTGATTTTCTTTTTGAATTTTACAAGATTTACTTTCAATTACTCTACATTTTGAATCAAAATTGTACCATTTTGTTTCATGAATTACCGAATACAAACTCATTTTTTAAAATCTCCCTTCAAGTTTGTTCTGAGGACACAAATAAATAATGTTCAATTTTCATTGTTTTTCTGTAAACACTAAGTAAATATAAAGGCAGAGATTATTATATATCTATATAATAAATACAATGTCAGGATGTCACACTTTTCAACTTTACTTTAACATATACCATTTTGGAATCAGGCTGTCTCCATGAGCAAATTAAAAACATGTCGAGTCAGATCCAGACCTGCAATCCTGAAATTTTGGATTCCCAAGTTTTCGTTACTGTGATTTTTTTTTTGTACAATAATTTTTATAACTCGTAAATAATCAAAATTTTGAAAATCCAGCAAAAGCCACCCATGAAATAAAAATAATTGTAAAGAAAGTAAGGACCTGCATACATCAAATTGTCTTTAAATTAAGTGGTGGCAGAAGAATTATTGTTGAAGTTTTAAAAGGTAAGCTTAAATATTAATGCAGCAATCAATTTTGAGTTCTTCTATAGTTTGTTGCCTATCGCATCTACTCCTCCCTATCTATTGTGATAAAGGCCTAATCAAGAATCCTCTGCAAGAGCTAGTCTAAAATGCTGTTTTTAAGCTAGTGTATGTACATATTATATCTCCATTCCACGGATAAGATGAGAATGAATAGAGTACAATGGCAATGCTTGTAACATTTAATTTAAAAGAGGGCTCAATACAGAGTAGAGCAAAATATTTATTATAGGATATTTAAAAAAAAAAAAAAAAAAAAAAAAAAAAAAAAAAAATCGCTACACAATTGCTTTAGTGTTTCAATGCATATCCATGCATCTTCTCGGGTGATTGTAAATTACTGGCTCGCTGTTTAAAACAGTTTTGTCATATAGGAAAATACAACATGTTGCTTGAATGAAATATTCAGTGAAAATTTCTGTTCATCAGTAACATTTAAATTCCTCATAGAATGCAAAGTTCTCAAAGCAAACCTGTGCTAAACTGTTTTCCTGAATCCTCGATGACTTGGCTGTCCAAAAATGAAAAACAATGGAAACTGACTGTGGAAAACAATGTGCAACAACTTTTTGATCAATCAGTTACCTTCTACACGTTTTCAGGCCATATTATAGGATTCAGATTGCTATTGTTGGCAGATGGAATAATTCACTGGTAATTAATCTTAGATTTTGCTGTGTAAAATGTCACCCGGGGATTTGGGTGGGGGGGTGCATTAAGAAATTATGGCCAATTTTCTGAGAAAAATCACTTTTCTTAATGAAAGAAAAAAATTTTTTCCCCTTCAAAACATTTTTTCTTCAAACTTCAATCCTTTCTCTTTAAGCTGGTGTGAACATCATTGAATAAAAGGAATTGTTATATGGGCCCCATGGATGGGGGGGGCGGTAATAAAACATCCACATCCAGTGGAAAAAAAAAAGAAAAAAAAAAGAAAAAAGTCAGCTGCTAAGTGTTTTTGTCATCACCTGGGTCACAAGGTGTTTGCTCTTATCTTGTAAGTGGTGGGGTTTAACACCAGCTGATGACAGCTCGTTTTAACTTTTATTGCTGGCTGGCTTTGAGCCAACCATGTCAAAGTTAATTTGGTTTAATTTGAACCCTATTTTCCTATTTCTGATATTTTATTCAGATGACAAAATGGTCATTTTTCAATACTTTACCTTGTTTTACCCATATCAAAATATGAAGTTCCATTTTTTTTTTTTTTTTAGAGAAAATAGGCTATGACAAAATTACTTGCTATTTTTGTAATTGTTTTTACTTGGGATAGAAAATTTTTTACCATAGACCTGAATTGACTTTATTTAAGTTGGGGGGGGGGGGGGGGCTATAAGAACCCTCAAACAGTGTTCTATAAATACTGTCATGGTAATTGTTCTGATGAACTATTTTCTATGCTACCTAGACTATGAATTTAAACACAGTACTAAATTGGCTGCAAAATCTCACCATTTATTTGAAATAGCTCTAGCTGCAACAGTAAGTTCTATGCTAACAGATTCTTCTCTTACACTTCTCGCTTGTTGAAATTCCTTCCAGTTTCTTACTTTCCAGTCAGGTTTGATCTTCAGATTTTAATGTCAATCGTTATCTTCTGCCTTTTTAATTTCTGCACTTTTATTATTCTAGTTTTCCCTTCTCTCTCCCTCTTATATTTCTTCACTCAATAACACCCCCACTGCGCGTCTTAGTGGCTTAAGAAAGTTAAGAAAATTATTTGAGAAATGCCAAAACTTTTATACTTAACTGAAGTAAAACGGAAATTCAGTGTCCTTGGTATTGTTAGTAAAAAAAAAAAAAAAAAAAAAAAAACAACAAACTAAAAATGATTATGCTTTAAAAATTTTTTTTTTTTTTTTTAAAATCCAATAAAATTCAGTTTTTTTGTAAGACCAACAGCATTTGAAATATCAATCACTGATCGGACATAAAAATATCCTCGGATTTTAATAGGGGAACAAGAATGACAGTTAACTAAATGAAAAATCCAAGCTTTGAACATCCTGTTTTAAAAACTTAGTTTTAATGTTTACAAACAAAAATATACAGTGTAAAAGTGAAAATTTAAGTTAAATAAAAAATGATACCAATTAAATACCCATTTCAACTTTTTATCACATGCCATTTAAATTTAAAATGTTAAAATAATTAAGAACTTACAAAACTGTAGTGTAAAGAAAGCGGAAGAATCCATGTTTTCATTATTTATTTTTTTTTTTTACCTTACAAGCGAGACCCTTCAAACGAAATCAAAGTTTTTCTTTTTAAAAAAAGAAAAACTACTCATATGCAGAAATAAAGTTACAATGCTATGCAAAGAATAAATAAAATCGGATATGAATTAAAACGAAATGCTTCCTCTTGCATAGTCGTAAATTTTAGGAAAAAAAAAAAAAAAAAAGTAAAATAAAATGATGTCATGTGAAGTATTTACAAGGACAACGACCAGTAGTTCGAATTATGGGACACTTGACGTAGGAACAAATTTAAAGATAATACTTTGAAAAAAAGAAAAGAAAAAAAGATCGACTAATAGGTTAAAAATTTATAATTAGATTCAAGAAATTGGGAAAAGCATGAACTTTGTTAGGGTTTCCCAACAAGGAAAAAAAAAAATAAATAAAAAAAAGCGCGACGCGCCCCATTTGTTTAAGTATGGCGGCCCAAACGTGTCACTAACATTAAAAATAGTATTTAAGAAATAAATTTATTAGAAAAACGTATCTGAAGTTCATAATGTACTTTTTTTTATTACTATTTAAACGAGAATAGAAAAACATCTAACAGTTAACTAAAATAGATTACGGTCACTAATAGTTTTTTTTGTCATAACTTGATAGAAATTGTTTTAATTTTTTACTTGGCAATCAAATGCTTGACAATGATTGATTGCTTTCAATCATAAATTTTTAGCTATTCAAATATACATTGGATTATATGAAGTCATCAATTCGTGTATTTGATTCTAATTCATCGGCTCAATTACTGTGTCAAATCGGCTTCCGTACCCTAAAAATTGGGTCACGTTACACATTTTCTATCCCACTCCTTTTAATTTTAAGTTAATCATTAAAAAAATATCAATGCTTAGACTTCGAAAAAATCACGAGCCTCACCTACTTTGTTAATAATATAAATTATAAGAACAAAGGCGATGACGTTTTTCTATTTTAGTTATCTTATGCCTGATAAGTACAAAATTGTGTCAAAATTTTACGTACTTAAAAAAAAAAATCATCAAAAGTTCAAAAGGGAGAGATACATGTTCGATAGAACAAATAATTTTTAAAAATAGTGTAAAAATTAAAGTACAAATATAAAAAAATGCGTATACATAAAGTAAAGATATTTAGACAAGGTGTACCTCGATTTTAATGGAAAAAAAAATGAATTTTGGAAAGCGAGATGAAAAGGTCGATACAGCATCGAGAATATCTGAATTCCTTCAAACAGTTTTGAAAATAGATCATTGGTAAAATATACATAACTGTATGAATACATAGGGGGAATGTAAGAAAGGACAGAAAAATGTCAAAAATGTCGATCATTTTAAAAGTAAACTAAAGAAAGAGTGACAAAAACGTAGAGAGAAAAGATTGCCTAGTGGTATACACTTAAAAAAGTAGGGTCTACCGACTATGAAGTAATATTAAAGAAAAGCTAATATTAAAGTGGAAAGGAATATTTATCATTCATATTAAGAAAGGAACATGTTACCTTTGGAAGCGTATGTGTATGGCGATTAAAGTGTTGAAAAAAAAAAAGACTAGGACGTTCCTCTGTAACCGCTAAGGAGCAAATCTTTTTGAAAACCAGTCGACCTGCCGCTGCTGTTACCGTCGACGATACGCAATTTCTCGACTATTCTCGCGAAGTCTCGTTGCTATCATCCCTCCATAATTATTAATTAAAAAGCCTGTTTTTTTTTTTTTTTTTTTTCTTTGTTTGTTTTTTAAATCAGTTGCTTTATTAGAATTAAGGTTTATATATAGTGTTAAAATATTTATTGAAAATAAATATACTTGCAACAGATTTGTATTATTTTCTTATACTAGAGTTCGTGTACTCTCGTGATTTGGTTATTATTTCCCGTGATGCTCTAGCGAAAAAAAAAAAGAAAGAAAGAAAGAAAGAAAGAAAAAAAAAAAAGAAAAAAAAGCGTTCTAAGCAGGCGACAGTCAGTGAGCAGTAGACGGAAGGATTGTACTAGCATGGGCAATATTCATACGGCAGGACCAGATGAGGCGCTCGTTATTTCGGGTAAATTAACTTGTACACCCTTGTTCAATATACTTTTTAGTGTTTGCTGCTTCGGAACTGAGTATGCTTATTTCCCTGAATACCATTTTCATATCTGCATTTTATCTATAAGCCTTGGATCCGATGAGGCCTCAAGCGCCCCCATCCCGAAGAAAGCGAAACATCCTTTTTGCAAATATATTATTAATAATAATTTATTATCTGACAAAAATTGACGTTATCTATTTAATGTTGTTGTTATTAATTACTAGTTATTTTACCCTGTAGTTGAATTATGAAGCATAACTTTATGATGCACAACCACTCTCGCAAACTAAAAGTGCAACTTTGAATAAACAGAATATGAAAATGATTGAAAACAAAACCTTTTTACTTTTTTGGGGTTTAGTTTGCTTACTAAATTAATTTAATAATAAACAATATCTGTAAGTGTCATAAAAGATCAAATATTTAGCGATGATGTTAAAAAAGATCTACCTCATGATGAAACCATCAGACGGTTTTGCTTTCCTTGCTATCAGATTAAAATTGTCTTTTCTTTTGAGTAAACTTTTTAAATCGGTTACACCTTTTTTTTTTCACAAATGAAGAAACACATTTCTAGTTAATGTTTTTTTCACCTTGAAGAGCCAAGTCTCCTGATTTTTATAGCATTTATTTTGTAAAACATCAAGAAATTAAAATTGTGTCACAACTGGCTATCCGTAGTTCTGTTTCCAAAATATTTAGGGTGTGTAACCTGAAGAACAATCTTTTTTTTTTTTTTTTACTTGTACGGACACATTTCTACATTTATGTATTTTTTGCCTATCCCCGCCCTAATTACGTATGTCAGGAAAAATATAAAAATAATTACATTGAGTCTTCCAGTTAGCACTAAAAAATGCGAATTCTAGATTTATTGGTAGGTTTTTTCATTTTTTTATCTTTTTTTAGTCTTTTTTAATAAATTACTAATTAGTACAAGTTTATTATTATCATCGATGCCTTGCAATTGTTAAATTTGAACGATGTATTTTGTTGAATTTAATTTTGGAAAGCACGTTAGTTTGTGTGCTTGGCAACGACCTCAGTATTTACAATTTTGATCACGCAGTCAATTTTTAAATGTAATGAAAAAGCATTCCATTGTTTTTATTTTAAACAAACATATATTGTAAATATAATAACGTTAGTAGGAAATTATTAAGTGATTTCAAAATTATCCTCTATTGTTCCCTTTAGGGATAACGTCTTTAATCGACAAAAATAAAAAAAAAGTGCTGCGTGACTAGGTGTTCGAGTTTGATTAAATAATTGCTTTATTCTCTAGTTTTAATTCATTTGAATTGTATTTTCTGAAGCTCGAATCTAACAACTGAATATTTTGATCATAAATAGTCGGCATGAACGAAAATAATACAAGGATAGTAATTTTTTTAATATTTATCCTGCAATCTGAAGACGTTTTAGAGAAAGGGTATACAAAGGAGCAACAAGTCTGTTAAAAATTGAATAATTTGACTTAGAGAAGCGATTGTTACCTTGATTGCTGTTTTGAACGAAGAGATCGAATTTTAATTTAAAACCACTTGATTTTGCCTTGGGTTTTTTTTCTTTTAATCCGAAAAAGCAATTTCTATCCGTGACGACACCAAATTTTGTATAAGTCACCACAAAATATAAAAATCTTGGTAGTACAAACAGTGACATTCCTTATTTTCTTTTACAATAATTTTTTAACAATCAACCTCTAACTTTAAAATTATCGAGGAACCTTTCAGTTATGACTGTAATTTTCGACAAACATTATTTTGAAAGATGTATATTTATTTTTAACCTTGTTAACTTAAATAGTTTCATGTTTGTTTATTTTTTGATCTTTTTATTAAATTGCTTAATAATTAAAAAAAAAATCTTATTCTCCTCCCAAGAATACTTCATCTTGCTTTCATACAACTTAACTTTCAGTTGATTGGCCACACCCAATTGCAACAACTTTGTCGTGTAGTTCCCCAATATTGCCTTCCGCTATTTTCTATGTGGTAATTAGTTAACCTTAAGAACTTTGATTTTCATCTTAGTATTCCACAGATTTATTCTGATAATGATAAAAATGCTTTTATTAATTAACAACAATAAACACGTAACTACTAGTCGGCTTTTGTGAGTGATGGCAATATTCTCTATTTTAGGAAATTATTGTAACCACGTTTTTTAACTTATTTTTTTTAATTAAAACTGGGATAACATGTTTTCTTTAAAATTAAAAATAATTTTGTAATTTCTCATATTTTCAATTTAGTTCAAATTTTGAACTCCTGTGCATTATAATTGTTTTACTATAACAGAAAGTAACTGGTAATTAAATAATTGTTATGTAAAAACAACAAAGAAAAACATCCAAAAATAAACATTAGAGTGGTGGTAGGGGTAGGTATTAAAATAGAAATTGAGATTTTGACTCGCATTATGTGCGCGTGCGCGCATTTACTCAACAAGGCGATACCTATATTCGCTTGTTGCCTATGTAAAATTTCAGTGTAACAATTCCTGACTTCTTCACGTTAAATTCTTCATTTTCTGTAGAAATTACCCAGTTTACCTAAGAAAGGGAGGCTCCTACTACTATTGGCCTGGTAACTGAAAATCATTCTTCAGTGGTCTGATTTTACCTAGGTAATGGGATGGTAGCAACTATCAAATGGCCTAGCAAGAAAAAACTAAAACGAACCACATGTTGAGTGCATAACCTAGTTTTGATAGAAAACTCCGCGTGCAAAAAGAAAAAAATCTATCTGATGTTGTGATTAGAAGTGTTATTATTCAATGATTTGTCCACGTTAGTTATCTTTTTTTCGTTAATTTGATTTCTATTCTGTATGAAAATGTGTTCTCTGAATTTCCTCATGTGCAGTGCACACGATGCTCTGAATGGAATTATTTTTTCATAATTTTCCCCTCTAATTTCATTCACTATTTCGATCAGAAAAAATCAGATTTATTTACGCAACAAGATTCGTCTTGCATTTTGGATCTTTTGAGTAGCAAAATCTTAGCATGAAAAATTTATAATGAAGTAATTGCTTATGTAATCAATTTCTGCAAGATTCAATCAAGGCAATGTAACACGTTGCATATGAAATCCTCTTTATTTTTTTTCAGTTGCTTATCCAAATTATCAAACTTTTACATATCTCTGGAAAAAAAAACAAAAAATAAGTATTAATTAATTAATGTTAGCATCAAATATGCTAGCAAGGAACCTGTTAATAACCCGGTCGTTTGTCTTGTAACTGTGGCCTTGTGTCAAACTTAATTTTAATTTAATTAATGCTCTGTACTTGATGTATTGTAGAAACATCAAGTTGTGGGATTCTTCTGTTAAACTGCTCCCACCTATCTTTTTTGTTATTTATAAACTAGAGATGCTTGCTGCAAAAAGTATAAGTTTTCAGAGCAAATACCATAATGATAATAATGCCCTTATCTTGTGTGCTTTCTGAACAATTTAAGTTAGCCTCTTCCTTCCTTCATTCTTAAGTTTACTAACTTGATTCTTGTCAGTTAAGTGCTGCTAATACTTGTTTGTACTTTAGTGTAAGAAGCCCATGTCTTCAATTTCAAAACAAAAGGTTATCAAATTGCTTGTTTTGCATCATTTATCTATTTTGAATGGCTTATTTATTATCCTAGATTAATCACCTTTTAATATCTGGTTCATTATAGGGATTACTTGGGACTGTGTTCTAGGAAGCCTGTCTATTTTCTTTCCCTAAGTTCTTGTAAGTTGATGAGTTTTTACTCAACTGTGATATCAAACTAGGAACATTGACATTCCAATGTTTCATCAAAAAAAATATGTACTGATTGCCTTTCTATATGGATTAAAAATTGTTTTTTCTTAGGAATTGGGATATTTGATTGTAGTAATTATTTTTTCTTTAAATTACTTAATTTATTAATCTATAACAAATTTTTTTCTTATAACAAGATTTTAATTTTATTCTTGTAAATTTGCCTACTTTGTGTAAATGGATAGGGAGAAAAACTACTAAGGGCCACACAAGATAGTAAGTTGTGGAGAGCTATGATCACTTTTTTCCTGAAGAGATGTGGCACATAGAAAACTTACCAACAGGTTTTCTGCTTGAGGTAAAAAAAATAATTTAAGCTAGCTCCTGCAGAGGGCTCTTGATTAGGGCTTCATCACAATAGATAGGGAAGAGTAGATGCAATAGGCAACAATAAACTATAGAAGAACTCAAAATTGATCGCTGCATTTAAGTATTGCATTAATATTTAAGCTTGCCTTTTAAAACTTCAACAATAATTCTTCTGCTGCTATTTAATTTAATGTACGTAGGTCCTTACTTTCCGTACAATCAATTATTTTTATTTCATGGTGACTTTTGATAGATTTAACAATTTTGATTATTCCCAAATTTATTTTCAAGTTATAAAAATTGTTATCGTACAAAAAAAATTGTTGCAAAAAATCATGTAAAAACAATTGCTGAAAACAATTGCAGTAATGAAAACTTGGGGATCCACAATTTTGGCCTGGAATGTTTTAAATTTGCTTGTGGAGTCAGCCTGATTCCAAAATAGTATATGTTGGGCTACAGCCTGTAGGAGGAAATTTGAAAAAGTCTGACACGGTGACACACTGTCATCCGCATTTATTATATAGATTTAACTCACTAAGCAACATTTTATTTTTAGATTTCCTGATTCTCATTGCTTTTCAATAACAAAATTGTTTTGGGATGATGCCATATTTATTGAAATTTTAAACTAAGTATTGCAACTCTTATGCAACTTATAAGTGTAATAATTCAACCAAAGTATTAGTCTAATAAATTGTCCAACTTTTTGAGTAGGGGAAATTATTTTTAACCTAAGACTAAGAGGAAACTCCTAGCTTTAAAACAAGGACAAGTGTAGAGCTTTAACTTTTAAATTGTTTATATCAAGAGAAAACAATGGTGGTGGGGAAGATATGAGAAAATATACAGGGT